GTAGTTTTGCCGGTCGTTTTGGTAGTTTTTCTGGTGGTTTTTCTGGTAATTTTGGTGGTTTTTCTGGTCGTTTTGGTGCTTCAAGTCGTCTGGCTGGTTTTGTGCTTTTCCCTTTTAGTTTTCTGGTGTTTTTCTTGACTGACTTAGCTTAGTTATTTTGATTTATTTTGATTTAATTTTGATATTTTATTTGTTTTTTTCTATGACTTGTCGTCATACGTTGTATGTTGGAATTTTCCTTTGAGTGTCGAGTCGAATATTTGATCAGATTTAACTTCATATGTTGGGAAAACTCGTCTGTTTGGGCCTCGTTGGTAGAGGTTCTGCTGTATATATAGATATATATAAATATGTTCTCAGAGGAAAGCTCCCAGAATGCCGCAGCCTGAGGGGCGTTCAGCAGCGATTGGCTGTCAGCTGAAGGTGGACGGCGTGTTGGAGAAAGTGAAAGCTAACACCTGAGGCCTGGTCCTGTCCTGATCGCCTTTCACAAACCCGCCACCTTCCCTCCGGATCCTCTTTCCTCTCTGACCCCGTCACCTTTATTAAAAAAGGACAACCCTTTGTTCCCGTCTAAAAGCGGCTCTGTGTTTCCTCCCGTCCCTCCTCTGGCCCGTTTTATCGTCTGAAACATGGAGAGGAAAAGGACTCCGATACTCAAAAAAGTATAAATACTAAATACTAAAACGTTATATCAAAAGTATGGAGACTCATCAGAGACTCTTTTCAGCCTCCAGCTCCTCAGAGTCACTCTGTGTGATGCATTCAGGGGCTGCTGGAAAGCTGGGACATGTCGATATTTGCAAACTGCAGACTGCAGGAAGCCAAGGATGGATATCCAACTCCCCCACATCCAAGTCGGCCATTTTGATTAGGTCACCAATAGGAAGATCCCAGGCAAGAAAATCCTGATTGCTTCATGACAATATAGTCATTAATTTAAAAATAGTTAAACTAATGTTGCAAACACTGAATTAAACTCCATACATAATATTATGTTCAAAAAGTGGATTTTCAATAGGTTTGTAAAATAAGTCCAAACCATGCATACCGTTTGGTCTTTAGGTTAAGCTTTTGTGATCTGGGGGGAACAAAACCCTCCTTGTGGCTCCGCTGTGGGTTTATGTGTTGTGTAAACGCTTTTATAAGGAAAAACAAGATGCCGTGTTGTCAGACATAAAGAAGCTTAACGTGGGCGACCTTTGACCCCTCTGAGTCGTGGCTTCTTCTTCTTCTTCATCACTGATAATGAACACGGCTCTGCTCAGGTAGAAATGACCTGAACGCTCTTTTTCTGAACTTCTGCTTTAATTTGACTTTTAAAATATTTAAATTACTGTTCTTTAATCCCATATTTAAACTAAAGTGCACAAATGAAAGCAAACGCTTTGAAAAACAGAACCAGATTCAGATAAATCGCACGTTCTTTAAAGATAAATTCACCTCCAACAGGATTCGAATCTCTTGATTCCATTTCCTTTTTCATAATTTACTGGCCCAAAACAGAGAAAATCTTCCTTTTAAACCTGTGGCTTTATATGTCCTTTAGTTTACAGAGGACCAAAGCAGGACCCAGGATCATATAAAAGTAGACTTAAGTGATGAAAATAAGATATTAAAGGAATTTTAAATCAAATCAGGAAACTGAACGAAACCTTTTCCTGGTTTTGTGTCATTTGGTGATTAAAAACTCTGGTAATTCACCCGGCTGGTTCACATAAACTGGAACTTTCTGGGGTGCTTAAACTCGATTTTAAAGGCTTATCTCATTTCTAATCATTCACACGTTCCATGTGTTTGTTTGGATTCAGGTTTTTCCTCCAGAGGAAGTCCACTGATAAAACTCCATGTGGGAAATTTAAAGATAAACTAAATCTGTGGTGTATCCTTCAGAGAATCTGATCTGTTACTGAATAATAGCGAGTTTATATTTCATATTCAAGCCTCTAAAGGTGAAATCCTCCATTTTTTTGGAGCCGTTAGCTGTGAAAAAACATAATTTATGTGGAGTCCATTGATGGGCATTCTTTGTTTTATCCAGTATTTGAATGTTTTTTAGGGTTTTTACAGTTTTATTCTATAGATTATCTATTTTCTGAGGAAAATCAGGCAGATTTGGTCTGTCGGGGAGGCTCTCCCTCCCTTATGGTGGCGTTTGCTGACATTTGGAGTGGTTGTGGAGGTTCTGGGTGTGTTTTAGCCTCGTGTGTCTGGATCTGAAGGCGACAGGTCGGCGCCCGTTATAGAAACGGGTGGAAAAGCAGCTGGACTCCGTCCCTCAGGCTGGAACTCCTCCCGATGCCAGAGGAAATCACCTCATGTCTTTGTGCCGTCTGGCTCAGAGGGCTGAGCTTTTATTGCCTCCTTTTGTCCCCTCCTGGTTCTCCCAGTCCGGCTCCTGGCCTTCGGTTTTCTCTCCGATCCAATACGATCCCGGCCTATCAGAGCATGTGTTAAAGTTTAAAGTTATTTATCTACTTACTTAGTTGTCAGACTCATGTTGAACAGGGATTTACTCTGATAACAACTTAATGGTTAGGACACAGACCTGTGGGTTACAGATGCTAATGATAATGGCTGATTTTTTTTTTTTTTTTACATCTTTAAAATATCCATTAAAACCTTTTAAAGCCAAAGAAAAAATCAAATCCCATCCCAAATGTGAGCTGTGATAGCCATTTCTGCACTATTGAACAAAGAGGGTCACATCTCTGGTGGAAAACCTCCAAAACCGGCACAAATGGAGCCTTTTTTGTTGGGTGAAGCAAAAAATATGTTAAAATATACTAAGTAAGTAGATAAATAACTTCAGACTTTAACACATGCTCTGATAGACCGGGATCGGATCAGAAACCTGGATGTGGTCATCCCTAGTTTGAAGGCACCCCAACAAAAAAGGCTCCATTTGTGCCGGTTTTAGAGGTTTTCCACCAGAGATGTGACCCTCTTTGTTCAATAGTGCATAAATAGCTGTCACAGCTTATATTTGGGATGGGATTTGATTTTGATCAACATGAGTCTGAAAACTGAGTAAGTAGATAAATAACTTTAGACTTTAACACATGCTCTGATAGGCCGGATCGGTATCGGATCGGAAGGGAAAAAAGCTGGATCGGGTCACCTCGATGCTCCGTTTGGAGCTGGGTCATCAGGACTCTGCAGCTCTTCGT